CTCATCCTGACCATTTGAGATTGCCTCGTTCAGACCGGAACCGTCTAGAGAAAGTCCTGGCGCAGCATCCCAACGGCAAGGTTCTCCCTGTTTGGCTACCGGAGGGACAGGGAGACGAGGACGGCGACTACATCTTCAAAGACCAAAGCCGGTGGCGCAAATACGCAGAGCACGAACTATACACCCTTTTTCACTATCGACACCACGGTCCCGACGATGGCCGAGCTGAGAAGACTTCATGGGCAGATTACGTGCAGATGAACCAGTGCTTCGCCGATCGAATCCTACACATCTATCAACCGGGCGATATTGTCTGGATTCATGACTACCACTTGATGCTACTACCAAGCATGCTGCGTCAACGCATCCCCAACATCTACATCGGTTTTTTCCTTCACATCCCATTCCCTAGTAGCGAATATATGCGATGTCTACCCCGAAGAAAAGATATCCTGACTGGAGCGTTGGGTGCGACAATGATTGGCTTTCAGTCATACAGCTTCTCCCGACATTTCAACTCCTGCTGCAAACGCATCCTAGGTTTCGAATCGAGCTCGGCAGGTGTGGACGCATACGGAGCTCACGTCGCTGTGGACGTGTTCCCCATTGGCATCGATGTGGCAGCGGTACAGAAGACAGCTTTCGGTGACCCTGTAATAGAACAAAACATGAAAGCCTTGAAGAAAATGTACGCCGGCAAGAAGATTGTTGTTGGTCGTGATAGACTTGATACCGTCCGTGGGGTATCGCAAAAATTGATGGCATTTGAGATCTTCTTGGAACGATACCCAGAGTGGCGTGACAAGGTGGTTCTTATTCAGGTGACCAGTCCCACGAGCGTGATGGAAGAAAAGGTGGACGGGGCTCACAAGATCGAACACAAGATCTCAAATCTGGTCTCCAGGATCAATGGCCAGTACGGGTCGTTGAGCCATTCTCCAGTGCAACACTATCCACAATATCTCTCGTCACAGGAATATTTTGCTCTTCTTCGCATCGCAGATGTGGGACTTATCACGAGTGTCAGAGACGGTATGAACACGACCAGTCTGGAATACGTCATTTGCCAGAAGAACAATCACGGTCCATTGATTCTGTCAGAATTTTCCGGAACTGCGGCCAGCTTGAGCAATGCCATCCACATCAATCCGTGGGATTTGGGTGGCGTTGCAGACGCACTGAAGCAGGCACTGGAGATGCCGGAAGCCCTAAAGAAGAGCAACCATGAGAAACTCTACAACTACGTGACAACTCACAATGTGGCGACCTGGTCAAACAGCTTTCTCAAACGGTTGCTCACCAACCTCACCTCATTCACACAAAGCGATCTGACGCCGGCACTGGATCGCAATCGAATGATCCAACAATACCATGCAGCAAAGAAACGGCTCTTCATGTTCGACTATGATGGCACACTCACACCGATTGTAAAGGACCCCAATGCGGCAATTCCATCTGACCGAGTCATCCGTACCCTCAAGGCCCTCGCCGCCGACCCACGCAATAATGTCTGGATCATCAGTGGCCGTGATGCCTCCTTTCTCGAAGAATGGATGGGTCACATTACTGAACTGGGCTTGAGCGCTGAGCATGGCTGTTTCCTACGACGGCCCGGGTCGGAAACATGGGAAAATCTTGCTGCAGCCATGGACATGGGGTGGCAGAAAGAAGTGATGGAGGTATTTTCTTATTATACAGAACGCACTCAAGGATCGTGGATTGAGAAGAAACGAGTTGCACTCACGTGGCATTATCGGCAGGCTGACCCTGATTTTGGCGCGTTCCAGGCAAGGGAGTGTCGCAAGGCCCTAGAGGAGAATGTCATGAAAAACTGGGATGTTGAGGTAATGAGCGGGAAGGCCAACTTGGAGGTGAGGCCGCAGTTTGTGAACAAGGGCTTCATCGCAACAAGGTTGATTAACGAGTACGGATACGCGAGGGGGGAACCACCAGAGTTTGTGTTGTGTCTGGGGGATGACCAGACGGATGAAGGTGAGTTCTTTGCGCATATCCGCGGCGCCCTCCTTGGATGCAGGACACCATTTCACTGACTGCGACTTTGTCCAGACATGTTCCGCGCCTTGCTCAAGACAGACCTTCCCAAGGAACACGTCTTTGCGTGTACAGTGGGCGCCAGCAGCAAACGCACCCTGGCGACATGGCACTTGCTTGAGCCAAGCGATGTCATCGCGACCATCGCGGCATTGAACAAGGCCGAAAACCTCTAGGCTCCCGGGCGCAAGGATTATGACTGAGCACTCCTCTTCACTTAACGCCATCCATCGCGAAGCGACAACGGCAGCTGCGCCTTTCCTCGTCTGCAGGAACGTTGATGTGCGGCTGTCATTCTCTGTCCACCCAAAATACAAAGACCAAGACGACATAAATCATTGGAAAAAAAAAGAGTTTTACCAAACATTCAAGATTCAAATCATTGAGGGCAGGGAAACAACACAGAACAGATCACCGTGGTGGACCTTTACTGCTGATACGACTCGGGCATTCGATAGACCTAGCTCTTGGAACTGATATGACGATGAATGTTTTTTCCATTCATGTAGGATTTCAGGACACAATCTTGGCCTCGATGAACTGGTCCAGGAATGAGTAGCCAGTTGGTGGCTAACTTGGTGATCTGGACAGGACACAAAAAGAGTAGCTGGTCTATGTTGACGATTTACTTGGTCTGTAGTCGATAATCGGGTCCCATACTTGACCACACAAGATGGGCCTATCCGGTTGACTTGGATGTGTTATTATTCTCTAACCAGTCATTTACGTCTTATTCACAGATTGGCCAGAGGCACAAAGGGTAACAGAGCGGTTCGTGTTTAAGCTGATTGGTGGGACGAGACTTGTGGCTCCAGTGACAACTCAGCGGGCGGCGTTTGGCATCTCTGAATCATTTTTGTCCTTGCGTGCCTTGTTACTCTTGTTTTCCCCCTCTTCAGTACTTTCGACAGGTCACTTTGCCCTCTTACTCACTACACTGCCGCAGATTAGTCTTGTGCTACAGTCTCCTTTCTTTTACTGAGAAGAAGTCCAGGTTGGTTTCCCTATCAGCTCTGTGCGCCCTCTTCTTTTCCCCATTTCCCCCGCGTTTTGGGCACAAAGAAATCTTTTGGTTGCAACCTCTGATGCCACCGCTCTTTGTCCCAGTCACATGCCTCTAGTCTCTGCTCCGTGTTCGGGCTGAATGGGTGTTTTACTGACTGTACTTCCAGAGAGAGTGCTTCTAATAGACTCACCTGCCGATCCAAGCCCTCTGTTGACCAGCACTTCGATTTACCCCCCTCGCACACAACTCTCCTATACCCCACCGCTCTTCTCGACCATCTATTTGCCCGAGGACCCTTGATCTCTAGACTCTCCACCATGCCTCCACGAGGACGAGGAGGAAAATTCTCAAAGCCTACCCGAGGAGGTATGTACAGCCTGGTTTCACCCAGTCTACTCCACCACACAGTTGGCTAAAACTGAATGATAGGAGGCAAACATTTCTCCCGTGACCTACAACCTCTGGACAAGGAGGGGAATCAGATGGGCATGTGGCGAGACCCGGCAGAAGGAGAAGAAGACGAGTCTTCAGAAGAGGAGGAGTCAGAAGGAGAATCTTCAGATGACTCTGGCGAGGGAGCCTCCTCAGCGCAGGCCCCGTCAAATGAGCTGACTCGAGAACAACGCAAGGAGCTAGCTCGTAAGAAGAAGCAAGAGGCTATTGCGAAGAAGAACCAGAAGACCGCGGCAGTGGGAGACTTGCCTAGTACTTCGGAGGATGAGGAGGACGAGGAGGAGGAAGACGATGACGATGATATGCCCGCTAATCCCAACCACACACAAAAGGCAAGGTCGCAAGCGCGGGCGGTCACGGGTGCCAGTGGTGAGGCACCGAAAAAAACAGAAAAGGAAAACCTCAGCAGGCGGGAACGAGAAGCCATTGCTGCTCAGCAAGCTAGAGAGCGATACCAGAAGCTCCACGCAGAGGGCAAGACGGACGAAGCAAGAGCCGACCTGGCGCGGCTGAAGTTGATCCGCGAGCAACGCGAGGCCGCTGCCGCACGCAAACAGGCCGAGAAGGAAGAGAAAGATGCCCGTGACAAGGAGAAGAACGAGCGTGAGGCCAAGTTGAGAGAGGCGGCGCTGGGCACTGCTGGCGGAGCCAAGGCGGCTAAAAAGGGGAAGAAATGAAGAACCAAAGACATTTCTGACTCTTGGTCGTCGTTCTTCAACCGGCCACTTGTACAGATGTAAGGAGATGTGCAGACGTGCATGTTGGATGTACACGACATGGCGAATCCGACCAAGGCCATGTAGATTGCACAGGAGAGGAGAAGCATCTTGGCTAAGAGACCGGGGCTACACGCACACACATTCCAAGATCGTCTCGAGTCTTGCCTCTCCTTTGTTCCTGGGACTTTTTGTTATCATTTGCATCAGCGGTAGGCGGGAAACGGAGGGACATAGAGCAGAGACGGTATGATGTGATACAATGACGACAACAACGCCGATGAGATGATGATGATGAGGCAGAGGGAGGGAAAGGGAGGACAAGAATGAGAGGAAGCGAGACGGACGACGGGCGTGATTGTAGAGTTCCAAGCGAGCACACACAGACAAGGCAGGAAGATGAAGATGAAGAGACTTCAATCCTTTCCCTTTCCCTTGGACCGCTTTTCTTCTTGTCTTTTTGCTATTACTTCGACAAACACTTGATAGTTAAGTCACCTATCCCCTCGGTACTTTGCATGCATGGCTTGAACCGCTCGCTCGCTCGCTTACAGTGACGCCAGACCTCCGATTCCGATTGCAGAAACTCGTAACTCGTTCGTTCTCTTTCCCTTGTTCTGTTAGTTCAGATTGGAATGGATTGGATTGGAATTCCCCTGTACAGCCAATCTGCGCACCCATGATGGACACATATGCATAGATATGCACACACACACACACACACACACACACACTTGACTGATTCTCCTCTCGGGCACCTCTCTTTTTCATCATCAGTGTCCACGCCCTGTACCGGCACCACCATTGTACCAGGCGGGAAACAGGTCTCGGGACGAGTACATGCTGGCGCGCAACTTGTACTCGTTGCCGCTGCTCAGGCCGAGGTGGGTGTAGGCGTCGCACTTGTAGTAGATGGTCCTGAGACCGGCGTTGCGTCCGTCGAGGTCGATGTTGCTGCCGAGTAGGCCCAGGTCTTTCATGGCCTGCAGGACGCGCTTGACGTCTGCTTGGTCGGAAAAGTCGCGCGTGTAGATGCATATCAGGCGTAAGCCGTTGTCTTTCCCATCACCACCACCGTCATCGGCATTGTCGTCATCGACCACCATCTCTCCCTCGCCTTTGGCCGTCGCCACCTTGGCTCCGGTACCCAACTTCCCGTCCCACACACCGCGCGCAACGACCGCCCATACCGTGTCAACTTCATCGTCTCTGGGAAACAGCATCCACTTGCCCGCCGTGATACGGTGTGCCTTGGCTAGCTCCCTAATGTCGGATTCCAACTGAAGGCGATCGGGACGCAGCATGCGCGTGATCGACCCGGGTACTTTGCCGGGGTTCTGAAGTTCCGTCTCATTTTTGCGGGAGAGATATCTTTCCAGGAGACGCGTACCGAGTTGGCGGAACGTAGCGACATCACCACTGCCGAATTCCGGGTCGGTGCTGGTGCTGGTGTTGGTCCTCGTGCTTCGTGACTCTCCTGCTGACCGTCTGCTAGGTACTGGCTCAGGGTACGGGTTCGCGATCCAGATCCACGGTTGGCGTCCAGCTAAGCCAGACGTCGTGGTCGATGGGGGCAAACGGGCGAGGAAGTCGGAAACAGACTCTGAGAGCTGTTTGGCAGAAGGGATGCCCTCGTAGAAATTCCGCGGCGGCGTGCGGCGATCGTCTTTGCCATCCTCGTCCTCTGTGTCAGGATCAGGGCTCGTTGGGGCTTTGACCTTGGTGTCGACATCCATTTCTCCATCTCCATCTCCCTTCTTTCCATCTCCATCGAAACCCACGCGAATTTCCCCTTCCGCCTGCTGTGACCCGGCCTGTCCATCGTCTGTTTTGCGCTCCGCTTGCCGTTGCTTCCCCAGAGCAAGTTCTGCGTGCAGTCTAGCGGCTTCGAGCCACGCCACCCTGCCTTTGGCGGCATTCACTTGGGTGGACCACTCGTGGACGGCCCAATATTTTTGGGGATCGTATGATGCGGCCAGCTTTTGGTATGTGGACTTGGTCTCCACGCTCCCTGCGTGGCAGAGATGATATCAGGTCAGCAAATCGAATGATAAACCCCGGCGGAAAAAAAAGAAGACGAAAAGACAAGATGTCGTTGTAGCCCGCAACTCACCGTGGAAGTCGGATTCATCACTAAACACGTCGTCTGGCATCATGGACGCTTCAGAGTCAGTACTGGACAAAGATGCGGGCGCCATGATTTCAATGGGGGAAAGATTCACACAATGTACAAGAGACACAAGCAAGTCAAGACATCATGTACATTGTGAAATCAATCAAACAAAATACAAACTCCCGCCGAGACATCCTACAGCAAACACTTCACACGCTGGGAGGCGCGACTGAAAATAGAAACGAAGACAAAGCCAAAGGCAGCAGAGTTGGTCGCGGCCAGCTGCTGAGGTTGAGGTTGAGGCTAGCCATCAGGCTGAAACACAACTAGCTACAATAGACGAAGCCACATGAACCGGGGGTGGCTCCCTTGGGGGCTTTCATGTCCCCCATGTGCGCAACATAATGCCTCTATCAGATGACTTTTGCAATGGCCCGGAGAGACTCGAGAGATTCCATCTCCAACTTGAGCGCGTACTCATGCTCATCCATGTGTCCCGCCATGTCCGGATTGCTCTCAGTCGCCGTCATGTTTTCAACCACTCCAAGAAAACTCTGTACTATCCTTGCATATCCAATGCCTGCGGCCGCCTTCAACGCCCTGAGAATCTCGTTGTATGAGGTAGGTTTCATCGTGGACGGCTCGGGACTGTGTGCTCCGCTCACGTTGGAGAGTAGTAGCTGATGTCGCAGTTCCAGAAGGTCGAAAGCAGGGCTGTCGTCGCCGACTTCTTGGTCGACAGAGTGCACGCTCTTCCGCAGCTTCAGATCGCGACTATGCCTCTCCCTCAAACTATCACGGCTCTGTCTATTGATCGAGTTGGACGATGACCTCGGCGTAAGCGTGGATGACGACGACGAAAATGAGAAATCCGGATACTTGTAAGTGGCATCCGACAGGCCTACACCAGGCCGCAGGCTTCTCGACCCACTGCGCAAAATGTCGGGCAGACTAGTCCACAATCCGAGTTCAAGGAGGACGCAACCGACGCTGAAGATGTCGAAGCTCTTACGATATGAAACTCTGGAGCTCCCCATCGACAGTGGATGTCGGTAGAGATCGTTCTCAAAGTCGGACTCGGTAGGCTCTGTGAGTTCGTTAGGACTGTCTACTCTTGCATAGACGTAGCCGGCGACATAGATGGGCGAAAGCAAGATATCCTCATCGGATGCATTGTCCGATTGAGGTCCACGTATAAATAGGATGTTGTTGGACCGAAGTTCCTTGTGCAGCCAGTCAGCGGTATGGATCTGTAGCAACGTCTCCAAGAGCGTGATGGCGTAGGACAGCCGAAGATTGAGTGACGGGATTTCCATCGGTCTTTCTAGCATGTCTCGCAATGTATGCATACTTGGCAACGGTGGGAGGTCCATATGTCTCTTGACTGGGCTCTTCTGCATTGTCGGAGGATAGACACCAAAGGGAAGATCGAAGACGTAGGCATATCGGTCTTTTGCAGCCCAGTCTTTGATGTAGCCACGGCAGGGTAAACTGTGAAAGGACTGATCTAGTTCGTGCAAGAATGCTGAAACCCGGTCCACTCGATTCTCAAGAAGTGGAAGCTTGATTCCGCCACCACCGCTTTTCCATTCGAGCAGGACAGGCTCACGCGCATACCAGGCAAAGTAACGATGGCCCTCCATGCGTGACGGTGGAACGATGAGCTCCTTCGACTTCAGCCTCATCGACTTTGACGAGGACGAAGACAAAGACCCGACCGACAGACTGGAGAGGGAAGAGTGCGAGTCCCTCAAAGTTGATGGTCTCCCAGATTCCGGCTTTGGGATGAGTGTATGGTTGTCTGTGCATGTATCTGCAACTCCCAGAAGGAGACCTTGTCGTTTCAAGCGAGCGGCAGCAGGGATGGCTCCCTTGGAGAAAGAGCGGTTGTGGTCGTGACCGATAACACCCAACTCTTGTTCGTTGGCTGTCTTGACCACGGTGGTCCTGAGGAACACATCAAATGCCTGTTCCATCTTGACCTGCCTTTCGTGTTCAAGGAACTGTTGGAGCTGGTCAACCAAGACTTTCACATCATCCATCAATGTGCGAACGTTCTTCTCGTCGAAAGCAATCCAGGTCCACTTTCTCCAGTTTGTTTTGTGCTGAAAAAGCTCAGACAGCGACTTTCGGGGTTGTGAAGATAGCCTGACGCCCATGGGATTTCCCTCGTCGAGGTCGAGGATTTCCGAACCCTCCCTTATCTCCAGGTTGTATCTTTTCCTGAGTCCACTCACATCAAGCAGCAGTCTCCGCAATTGATCCAAGATCTTTGGCACATAGCGAGCATCTCGGGCGTGCACCCGTAGGTCTGGCGGATCCTCAAACAAACCTGCTTCTTCGGCCCAGGTCTGAAATTTGTGCTGTTCGAGCTCGATCATGAGGCTCACGACCGCCACATCACGGTCATGGCTGCGCGCCCGACGTAGCAGGGTAAACCCTTTGATGCAACCTTGAACACAGGCAAAGGACAGGGTCAACAGGCCAGCAATGCCTGCAGCTGCATCCAGGCCACTCATGTTGAACTACCGGCACATTGCAAAAGTTGACCAACGGCAATCACAACGACCCGTTTCGAGCAAATTCAGAAGATATTGTACCAGCTGCTGACTTGGAAGCGTGAGTATCAGTGGTTCGTGAGGCAAAAGGCTAGCGGCTCGATGTGGTTCTGTATCTGTGACTGCTGAGCATTATTGGACACGGATCGGTTATACTGGAATACCGGTCAGCCGTCTTCCATCTTGTTTTGGCCGCGTGGGAGAAAGACACGGCGATGGCCGGTATGGTCGATTGTTCTTCTACCAGGACGAAGGTCCTTAGACTTGAGGAGCGCTCATGACAAGACTGCTTGGGAGACTTGAGCGAGTACTTCCACTAGGGAATTCCGCGGCATATATAGCCCCCGCCAGAAAGGCTGTCGTGCATCTTGCAGGCGGCTGAAATCCAGGATCAAGGGTCGGGTCTGGCCCTCATGCTCTAGTGCTCTCGAGGGCGTCTCCAGGGTTGGGATAGCTTTCCTCTTTGCAGTTGGAGAGCCTGGGTGGTGCGATTGGCAAAGGTCGGGAGGGGCGCAGGTGGGAGAGAGTTTTGACAGGCTTCAGGTCATGGGGGACGGCAATGAGGCATGAGGCATGAGGGGCAGCCCGTCAAAGTCTCAAGCTTGTTCCAGACCTCGTGCATAAAATCCCTACAAGGAGCCAACCATTCTTGCCAACGCACAGCCGCCACTCACCTACAAGTTGGCACTCTGGCTTCATTTCGTTCGAGGTGCGGATGGCACCACTTCCGCAGCCTATCACTTCTCACTCCCTCTCCCGCACAGTAGCCAACAAGGCATAAATCTGCCTTGTCATGCCAGGTAGGTTCGCAAGGTTCGCCATGGATTCCGATATCCTGATGGCTAAAATACTCCAGCCTCACCGGTTATAGACATGAGTCAATATCACTTCACCCCTAGACATCGGGCGCACTAACTTCATCACAGTGGAGAAAGCACTATGCGGCGCGGGCTCGATCGTCTTATCATCTGGAAATCCACCGTTGCTGTTCTGTCTACCCGAAGCACTTGAGCTCGATTGGTCGGTTGCAGCAACCAGGGTCTCTTCTCTCACCTTGCCCTTTATCAACGTGGAAGAGTAGGCGTCAAGTCCGGACACATCACCCCTCCGACCATGGGCCGTTCTGGCTCGATGGCCCCACGACTCATCTCCGTTGTCGGGTCTCTCCATGTTGACCGTATCATGATCACCGACCGTATACCGGATCGTGGAGAAAGCTACAAGGCAAGACAATATCATGAGACACTGGGAGGGAAAGGAGCAAACTCGGCGATCGCCGTCTATCGAAGCAGCCATGCCCGACCCTCCGAGGGCAAATTAACCTCATCCGATGAGAGAATCGACTACTCCAATGACAAGGAGATTGAAGTATGTATGATCGGCGCGGTGGGAGATGACAAGTATGCGCAAATGTTTGAAGACGCGCTGCAAGAGAACGGAGTCGATGTGTCGCGCCTTCAGAAGGTGGATGGACCGACAGGAATCAGTTTCGTCCTAGTGGAATCCGCCAATGGAGAGAACCGATGTATCTTTGCCAGCAACGCAAATGATGCATTGTCGGTCGACTATTTTGCCAACCTCGACAGTCTTGCCAACGGGCGGCCACCGGATCTAGTCATTGCACAGATGGAAATTGATCGCACCGTGGTTGAGCAGATGATCGAAACGGCTGGTGCAGCAGGTATCGAGTTCTTGCTCAACGCCGCACCGGCCAACTACATCCTGAGCCACTACTACCCGCTGATCACCCATTTGCTGGTAAACGAGACGGAGGCAGCGACTATGTCTGGCCGTGAAGTGGAAGAAGTGAATGAAGAGACCTGGCAAGAGATTACCGAGTACTTCCTTGGGAAAGGGGTGACGAACGTGGTCCTGACCCTGGGAGCACGTGGAGCCTTCTTTGGCAGAGCCGACGAGTTTGGCCATGTGCCGGCTTTCAAGGTCGACGTGGTAGATTGTACAGGGGCAGGGCAAGTTTTGATGTGGTTAGGACCAGTACTATGAACGAATGCTGACAAGAATCTCAGGGACACATTCACGGGGGCGTACGCAACAGATTATCTGCGACAGAAGCAGATGGGACAATGGGATATCAGAGAGGCAGTTGTTCGTGCTTGTAAAGCCGCAGCATTGACAATCACACATCTCGGTGCTCAGGAAGGAATTCCTTGGATGGACGAAATTGACAATTTCGAGGAACACGAATTGTCTCGGGCAGGATTGGAGGCTGCGTCCCAATCTGCCACGAGTGCTTCAGAGGAGCTGTGAGCAGAGCAAGGAAAGATTCATACCACGTATAGGCATACCAAAATTGGAAGCCTGACGGCTACCGAAGAAACTGGCTAGAAGACCCGCTCAAGATGTTGCCACAGGATCATGCTTCTCCCATCATGCGCAACTAAGGCAAAACAATGCGTCTCCCTCATGTCGAAAATTTCGCTTCACCACGCGTGCTTCTGGTCTTTGCGTGTGATCTTCAGATAGCATGTTCTAGAGACGCCCCAACAGATAAGTCAGCAATTTGGTC